TCTGTCAAATTTAAAACAAAAGTTAAAAAAATCCGTCAAATGATTTAGAGCCTAAGACTAAATAAATTTACATATTTCAGTATTATCCTTCCTAATACATTAGAAAAATGTTACTCATTGTGCATTGGCGGGTCAAGCAAGACCTGAAATTTTTAATCGATTCTTGATCAATTGGCCTGCAATGAAAGATGAAGGTACCTAAAACGGCAACCTGACCAGCTTTATCCGATTTGGTCATTTCCGTCAACGATAGTATGTAATATGTATGTATGTTAAGGATACCACTCATTGTTGCAGGGCACAGCCAGTAGACAGTGGCCTGTCCACCTCGTATGACTTGATCAAGTACGATACCTGGTTGTATTCCATCTACCATTGTATGAAGGGCCAACAATGGAGAGTGGACCCGTAAGTAGAGACATCTTCTTCCAATGATAAAAATGTGCTAACCAGATACAGAACAAGCCATCATACGAGGGGATGTCCCAATGAGTGTTGAGAAGAGCCCACCTTCAATTCACGAAATGTTAACAACAGCGAGTTGGCAATACCACTCTCCCTATCCAAATCGCTTCAATTAGGAGCCCTGATGGTCCCATCAGGGTAATCGAGCATCTCAAAACCACAACACTCAACGGCATAATATGATTAAGTTTTCGTTTGGTATGCAATGAACAACAGAGATACGCGATAATTAAAATAGTTTATGCGGATGATAATGAATTTTAAATTAATTAATGGCGATTACGACGACAACAACAGTGAACTTGGACCTTACCATTTGTCTAGGATATAACACCTTTGCCCGGCACCTCCACTGGATCTTCAGGTCCACCATCTGTCACTGCTTGCAAACATATCTAATAGCAACATACTTAGAAATAATTAATTTTACAAGTGACGGAATCCATCTTTGATATAAAGGATCAGACGTTAACAAATATTTCATGTACAACTAAGTGCTCCGAGACTGAAAAGTTCGTTTCTCTACGAAAAGTACGTTTGATTGAGTTGAATTCTGCGTCTGTTATGACTCAATTTTATGTCAAAATTGACGCTCGTATGTGTCAGTCTCAGAGCACCTAAATTTACATGAGTTTTTCCAAGTGTGAATTGTTGTGATACTTCGTTCAACGAAAATAAATTTTCTTGTATTGCCATGGTCATGTGGTATGAGGCTCGCGTCTCAAGTCGTTTGTCAACCGAGCACTCGAAGTGAGCGCCCCGAAGATTATTGAATCAATTTAGATATTAGTATAAGATGGTGTTAACACGCTAACTTGAAAGTACCCATTAATGGTTAAAAAATACCCATTTTGAAGAAAAGCGGCTTAACTCATTAAATGAGTAAATTTTTAACCCATTAATGATATAAATAATATCTGGTGCCCATTAATGAGTAACTGTTACTCATTAATGGGTAACAAATACTCATATTTGGGTAAAAAATTTAGTCATATATGAGATAAGCTATTTAAGCTTTAAGAGATCAAAATAGGTCTGTTTTTACTCATTAATGAGTACTTTTAAGTTAGTGTGTATGCAAAGTGCGAAAAGATAATTAAAGAAATACGACAGGGATTAGTTTCAAGAAGTGACTGTTTCATCGGATTCCCCAACCAACCATACTCAAGCTATATTGCGACTACATGGTTACTTGGGTACTCATATGGCCGTCAGAATGGTTCATCGGTTGCAAAGTGAAGTATTTCTGTTATATTTCTCAATGTTTCGATTTTATCCAAACGTTACGTCATTACGTCAATATTATAACTCAGACGAATAGACACAACACATTGAACATTTCTCATTGTAAACACTACCACCATCTGTCATATACACTGTGATGAGCAATACACTCAACAGATGGCTGTACTGTGTAAACGTCCAACCAACCAAAGCGATTTCAAAGAACCTTTTGAGAGTGTTATGTCTGCTTGTCTGTGATCATATCTTCACTATCGCAACTTCAGGTAATCCGCGAAAGTACTTTTCTCAGGCACTTTTGATCTAACTACAATCACTTTCTCATACTCGAAATGTGCCACGACCAAATTGGCACAACGACGACCTCTCTGACCAAAGCGCAGCGGGTCATTTCCGTCACCGATAAGACTCATAATTTATGATTTTTCATCTAGAAATAAATAGACATCACATCATGAACCAACAGATCGATCTGGCCACATCTGGATACCCGGAATCAGTTCCGATAGGGCACCAAAAAGGACACTTTTAAATCCTCAGGTACTGGTACCGTCCACCGGCTCACAATTATGGTTTTAGAAGTAAATAGACACCTGTTGGTCCATCCATAAAAAAAATCATAAATGTTAAGCCATCGCCAGTACCAGTACACGAGGTTGTCTTATCGAAACCGATGCCGGGTAACATAATTGCACAAATTGGTGAAATTCTGGTCAGGGTTCCATTCTAAGAACCTTCATTTTTCATTTGAGGCCAATACATCAAGAATTTTTTTCAAAAATGGAGTCTGGGTCTAGGAGTTATGAACAGTCAGGAAATTTCAGGTCTCTATCTGTTTCGTTACAAAGTTACAGCTTTTTAAAGTGACGCCGGGCTTAAAAATACCCCAATGCACTAGGAAAGTTAAATAGATAAAATTAGATAAAAAGAACAATCTCACCAAATCAATCGAAGTGAACCCGTAGCAAGCAGCCATGTCACGTTTGGTGTAGCAGTTCCGATCGTAGACGGTCCGCCTTATGGGGATTAATCATCTGGTTGGATGTCGTCGATTGCTCCAAGTGTAAGTGGGTTCAACACTGCAACTTGCATCTCCTTGACGTGAGCACGAAGAACGATGGGACGTCACGAATCCGATGGAGGTTCCTCCTCACTTTAGAAACCGCTTGTCAACGGCAAGCCGCAGGAATGTACAAACGGTATGCATTCGGGGATGGGATGTAGCACTCATAAGAATTTCACTCTCTTTAAACATTCAGTCGTTAAATTAGCTTCAGTCATTTTGAAGGGATCAGAAACATCACAAACCGAAAATATATCATAACATTGACAGTTTCTCTTGTCGACTTTTTCTTTGCATCCTCACGGCCATGTTAAGACATTCCAAGCAAATTTCAGCACACAGATCGATGAAAGAAGCTATTATCTAGCTTCTTATATGACAAAACACGACAAGAAACGGTTCTGTACCCATGCTTGGCATACACAGTTGTACACACCAACTGCTCATTTGTTAATAACTTTTCACTCAATTGTTGAAATTTGTTTGTCTTTAAAGTAATTGATAGATTTCTCACTTCATTTTTACAACGCACAAACAAATACAGTTTATTACTAGAATTAAAATCTACTTTTTTTACGTATCTATAACAAGCTTAAACTCTATTATATCTACTGTTTCAAAAATAACTATGTTACGTCAACTGTGTGCGAAGTTATTACCAAATGAGCAGTTCGTGACAAAAAATGTGTATGCCAAGCATGTCTGTACCCAAGTTATTAACGAAAGAGAAAGTCGATGAAGAGAATCTATCAATGTTACTTACACGGTCAATGAGATCAATTCAAATTTGAATTCAGTTTACTCATAAATCGCAACAAGTGCAGCAACTCAGTGATGAGTAAATTTTCCTCATTTTTTCCAGGTTTTTCCAGGGAAAAAAAATCATGAAAATGAGGAAAGTAAAGATTGGATTCTCTCAGTCTATTGGTACTACTTCTAGACTGAGTAAAACTTTTGTAAAATTTTCCTCATTTTCCGGTAGATTTTTTAGGTTTTCCACGGGAAAACATGAGGCAAATTTACTCATTGCTGAGTTGCTGGGGCCTCCCTTAGCTCAGTCGGTAAAGGCGCAGCTACAAAGCAAGACCATGCTGGAGGTGGCTGGGTTCGATTCCCGGTCCGGTCTAGGAATTTTTCGGTTGGAAAATTTCTCGACTTCCCTGGGCATAGACGTATGATTGGACTTGCCACACAATCATATCAATGCAAAAATGGTACAGGCATCGAAAGCTCTCAATTAATAACTGTGGAACTGCATCTAGAACACTAAGTTGAGAGCACGCAATAAGCTAATATGCGATATGCAATAAGCTTGAAATGCGAAGAAGAAGTAGAAGAAGAAGAAGAAGAAGAAGAGTTGCTGCACTTTTTGAGATTTATGAGTAAACTAAACTCAAATTTGTGTTGTTATCATTGCCCGTGCTTGAGTTGACGGTATTCTCTATTCCGTTCGAAATGGATTTCCCATTTAGAAAAAATATTTGTGAATAAGGGGTGATTGTCTCCTTCACTTGTGTGCGCTCCGAGACACTAATTGCGCTGCCATTATTGGGCGTGACATTACAGACAAACAGACGTCACTCTTTCTGCTCTATTGTCAAATCCCACACCATAGCGCTGGTTTCGGATTACTTGGACGTTTCTATACATTCTATCGAACTTGTATGTAACATTTTTTGAGGCTCGTAATGCCAGTTTTTTGCTCGCGAGGCGGCGTTAGTGAGTTCCGTGACGATATATTTAAGGAAATTTGATTTAAAGCGTTCCGTCTGTTTGTCTGTGGTAAAATATAGGGCATTTTTTTCGGAGTGTTCACCGCACATTATTAATTTGGTTAACAATCAACTCCAAGTCTTGGACCACCTTATTCCCATTGAATACATCCCTGCTCTGTTTCTTCAGAATATTAACCTTTTATTCATCAAGTTTTGCTTTCACTACTGTTGTGGTGGTGTAGAACCTTTTGCTTTATCGGAATACACAGGCCCACCATCACAGTTATCGCAATGCCAAGCGAGTAGGGTTAACTGTTACGATCATGTGCAGCTCAATCCGAAATGAGCTCCATTTAAGTCAGGCTCTTGCAAGGCACACGTGTACCTGAGTTGACCTTTTGTCCGAAATCGCAATATAATGGCATATGCAACCGACGCAAACCAGCCCTGCAACAGACGCTCGGCTTCGTTTGTACCGTAACATTTGACAATCGGCGTTCTATATGTTAACATTAGTACCCTTGTTGCATCGATCACGGTAACATGGACAAAATGCAAATTTTCGGATTACTTACGGAAAAAAGCCGAACGATCAATAGCTAACGGGCGGTTGTCAGTGTCGATAAATAGTCCCTGAATACAGTTCGAACGAACCTATTACCTGCAAGGTTCGCGTGGTGCGTGTTTTAAGGGCAGTTTAATGAACTCGTTGGATGTGAATTAGTTTCGGGAAGAGTTATTAATCGTTGTTGGAGAAGTGATTTGATCTGAGAAAATTAATGGATACTTACTAAATATCTACTCTGTTTTAGTGCACTGAATATTTTACAAACTAGTGCATAATGGCTTTAGTATTACGGTCGTTGTACGACTTCTTCACGTTCTTGTTTAAGGAATATAACGGTTTGTGATATTGGCATGTTACGGGAAAGAATGGAAGTTTACTAAAAGTGTATTTTTACTCCTCACATCTGTAGATCCAAGGGTGGAGCATTTCCCTCTTCTCGGCTCACCATGGCCAGTGGTGTTGATCATTGTCCTGTACCTAAAGTTTGTCAACAATTGGGGTCAGAAGATGATGGCGAATCGGGAGCCGTTCTGTTTGAAAACGGTGATGAATGTGTATAATGCGGTTCAGATTTTGCTGAATCTCTACATTGGCGTTAAGGGTTTTGCGAATTCCTATTTTTCCGACGATTACGACTGGCTATGTGAACCGATCAGCCAGAAAGTGACTCCGTCGAGGAGGCGGCTCATTTTCGTGACGTACCTGTACTTCCTTTCCAAGATTATTGACCTACTGGATACAGTAAGTGGTGTACAGCGTAGTGTGGTTGAACGTTGAATCTAACGTGTCACTAATGTATTGCAGGTGTTCTTTGTGCTGCGGAAGAAGAACAATCAAATTACATTCCTGCATACGTATCATCATGCTGGAATGGTGTTTGCGACGTACATTTTCACGAAGTTTGTGTCTGGTAAGTGATTATAAAGTGGTCATTACTGACTCATCCTCGATAGAAAAAGTAACACAATCGATAGTTACTGGTAGAGGATTTCTTCGTTAACAACTAAATTGGGTGTTATGGAACAGATAAAAAATAATTTAGCTTTGAGGTTTGGGAGTTTTGCATCAGAAAGAAGTGTAATTTAAACTGCTATAAGTGCTTATTATTTGGTAAAAAGCTGTACAAAAAACAGGGGGGGGGGGGGGGGTTTGCAAAACAATAGGGGGCGTCTCATATCTTACGCATTATTGATTTTAGTGAGGCAGAGAATGAACTGGGCACTGTTTGTCCATTAAAATGTACAAAATACTGTAGAACGTATTTGTTCACAAGATTAAAAAGATTATGAAATTAAAAACAAGTTGAAATGAAAGGGAAATGGCTCTAATGTTGGCCTATGGATCTAAGATTGGGCCCATCGCTTAAAAATCTGATATTTATAAATTTTATCTAGATGAGCGCGTCATTGGGACGGTACTAATGGATTTTTTTTTGGTAGCTATTGAAAATTTAGGCATTTAGGCCGACGTTACATCCATTTCCCCTATTCGAATTAATTGTATTTTTGACAAATGTTTATTTCATATTAAACATATTAAAATGTGGTACATTAGCTATGTTTATGACTCTCTACGTAAGTTATTTAAAATATCGTTATCTTTTACAGGTAATCAGAAGTGTTAAGATATCATCATTAAAACATACATTGATCACTAAATTTTTTTTAGCAGTAATAAATGTATAAAAGCAATTTGAGGGCGACCGGCAAAAAAAAAATCATAGAAAAAGTGATAAACATGTTATTTAATAATCTATTATTTGGGACATCCTGTGCTAGATTACTGATTGTTTCATAAATTTACAAATAAATTTACACATTATAGTTATCCAAGGAACATTTGAGCATGAATCACGATATCCAGAACTGCTAGTTCATTTGAATCGAGTAAACCACATTTTCACGAAATAAACCTCAAATTCATGAAGTTAGTTCACGTTTGTTCAACGCGACCAATTATGATTTTCGTTCCTGAAATCGTGAACTTGGATCACATGCAGTGTAATTTCCAGTTGTTGTCAAATTTATCCTTACAGAGTGCTCGGATCCGTCGACAAAAGTGTTGATTATTAGTGAATGCAGCTGAACTATATCACCAGAATGGTGGTCCGACACAATGGCAGTGGCTTGGGCGTGTCATCAAACTGGCCATACACCTCGAAGAAAAGAATTCCCGAACGCCTCTGGTGCTTGCTCCCGCCGCTCCGATGGAAACCGAAGGTACTGTTAGCTGCGTTCGTGGTGTCCATTGCGAGTTTTGGGAGTAGGCTATAACCTGCATCAAGTCTTCCGTTGTTTTCCTTCCACTTCCACACTCCATTAAAATATTGAAAATTATTTTAATGTTGACATTTCACATGCGGTAGGTATAAGATGGAATTGCACGAAATTTATCTAAGCTGTTGGGTTTTAGCTATGAAAACAGCAGAATTGTGCGGATGCGGAAAACGGTTTTGCGGGACAAATCTCTCAGTTGAATACAATATTTGATATTTCTGATTGTTTTTGCCGGAAATTGAAAATTTCGTTTCGTTTCTTATCGTTTAGAAAAAAAAAATGTGATAAAGCTTAACTTATGATCAAGGAAAATATTGAAGTGAATTATGTCACGCCCAGACAGGCATGAAAAATCATTTACATTCATTTCATACATTCATTTACATTTGCCTCTAATTTTTTTCATAAACAGCATTTCGCAAAATAATGTATAGAGCTTTTCTAGGTTTTGTTATTAGCTACAACTTTTGCTCATAACTCAAATCACGAACTAGAGCGGGCAGAACTTGTTACTGTTTTTCAGTGAATGTAAAATACATTCACTGAAAAACAGTAGTGGCTTCTGTTCGCTCTGGTTCGTCATGCATCAGAGATACGGTAGTTGTAGCTGTAGAAAGTTGTAGCTTATAACAAAACCTACAAAATTTCCATACATCATTTTGCGGAATGCTGTTGATGAAAAAAGTTAGAGGCAAATGAATTTAAATGAATGCACGGAATGAATGCAAATGATTTTCCATGCCTGCGCCAAGATATTAAATGACTCAAGTTTAGATAAGAATCTCCTTCATCAAACTGTGTGGCAAAAATAACGCAAAATCTGTTTGCACAGCAGTGGTTATCAAAAGAGAATGTCGATGAAGAGAGTCGATCAAAGCAGATAAGGCCTTTTGAAATATTCATCAAGATTTCGACCTTCCTATACACGGAGATGAAAAACTACCCAAAATTAAGTACTTTTCCCTTAATTCCGGGGTTTAGCCCAATAACCCAAATTTGAGTAAATTGCTTATAGTAGTTTACATTTAAAACCAGGGTAGTATTTTTTCTCCGTGTATATATTTCTGTTCTGAAAACGAAACTAACTCAGATAGCGAATCATTTATACCCAATTGTGACTCGCTCTCTGAGTAAGATTCATTTTCAGGGTTTAATCTAATCTAATCTAATCTAATCTAACACCAACACAGCCAGTTCTTGACAGCATTCTGGAAAATGATAAATATACCTTCATCATTTTTCTTGTCTATTTGATATATGTTTCACATCGAAGATGCGTCACACATATCAAAACGGCCAGGCCTACTGTGCAGCATTTAACGAGCAAGATGATGCAGAAAACATCACAAACGTGGACATCTCGTACCGTACGTTCTTACTTACTTACTTAAGTGTCCTGCGCGCCATCCCTGGCGCAAAGGGCCAACGTGAAAGATCTCCATCCTGGGCGATTGTTTGCTTTCGCCTTGACCTGGGCCCAGGTCAAATTCCGGTCGACTTGCTTAATCTCCTTGTTTAGGCTTCGCCGCCATGAGCCCCTGGGTCTGCCTCTGCTGCGATGTCCGGCTGGATTCCAATCCAGCGCTTGTTTGCAGATTTCATTTCCGCTCTTCCGTAGAGTGTGGCCAACCCACCTCCACTTACGTTCCCGAATTTCTGTCGATATCGGCTTCTGGTGACACCGTCGATGGAGCTCAGCATTCGAAATCCAGTTGTGAGGCCACCAAGCACGAATTATATACCGCAGGCATCGGTTGATGAACACCTGCAGCTTCTGTGTGATCTCCGCTGATACGCACCATGTTTCGCTAGCGTACAGCAGTACAGATTTCACGTTAGAGTTGAAAATTCGGATCTTCGTGCGGAGACTAATCTGATTTGACTTCCAGATGTTTCGTAAACTCGCAAAAGCAGCCCTTGCCTTCTTGATCCGTGCACCTATGTCACTCTTGGTTCCGCCGTCCGACGCTATCTGGCTGCCAAGATATTGGAAACTTTCAACCTTCTCCACTTCCTGACCAGCTACCGTAAAATTGGATGGATTTCCCGTGTTGATATCCAACGATTTAGTCTTGCTGACGTTGATGTTGAGACCTGCCGCTGAGGAGCGTTCGGCGAGATCGTCGAGCTTACTCTGCATGTCAGAACGCCGTTGTGATACTAAAGCAACGTCATCCGCCAAATCTAGGTCGTTTAGATGCTCCATTGTAATAGGCTGCCAGAGCAACCCACGGTTCGGCACACGGTCGATCGCACCAACCATTATCTCGTCGATTACGATGAGGAACAGTAGCGGTGATAGAATACATCCTTGCCTCACTCCAGCGACTACCCGAATAGGGTCAGATAGGGCTCCGTTGTGCAGCACCCTGCACGTGAAAGCCTCATACTGAGCTTCGATGAGGTTGACGATTTTATCCGGAACTCCCTTGCGCCTTAGGGCGCCCCACAGGTTTTCGTGGTTGAGTCGGTCGAAAGCTTTTTCGTAGTCAATGAAAACCAAGTAAAGGGACTCTTGGAATTCGTTGACCTGCTCCAAGATTATGCGGAGCGAGACAATATGGTCCACACAGGATCTTCCAGCACGGAATCCCGCCTGCTGCCGTCGGAGAGTCGCGTCGATCTTCTCCTGTATCCGGTTGAGGATAACTTTGCATAGAACTTTGAGAACACAACACAGTAACATAATGCCACGCCAGTTATCGCATACAGTTGGGTCCCCCTTCTTTGGGACCTTCACTAAGACGCCCTGCATCCAGTCAGCCGGAAAAGTCGCGGTGTCCCAGATATTGCAGAATAGTTGATGCAACATTTGTGCAGATAGCATGGGGTCAGCTTTGAGCATCTCTGCTGATATGCGATCGACCCCGGGAGCCTTGTTGGATTTCATGGTTCGGATAGCAGCTTCGATCTCCGGTAGGGATGGCGCCTCAGAATTGACGCGAGTGATACGTCGCACTCTTGGCGGTTCATGCCGAGATGTTGATGGCTGGTTGACCGACGAAACTTGTAGAAGCTGTTCGAAGTGTTCAAACCAGCGTTTCAGCTGATCAGTGGGGTCGGTGAGCAACTGACCAGTCGCGTCCTTCACTGGCATCCTAGGATTCATCCTTGCTCCACTCAGGCGTCGTGAGATATCGTAGAGGAGACGGATATCGCCTGTTGCTGCGGCTTTCTCACCTTCATCGGCTAGGGAGTCCACCCACGCTCGCTTATCCCGCCTACACGAGCGCTTCACTTCCTTCTCGAGAGCCGAATACAGTTGGCGGGCCTGGTTCTTCGCTCCTCTGGTTCTCGCCCGCTCTATCGCGGCTTTTGCATTTCTCCGCTCCTCTATCTTCCTCCAGGTGTCATCCGTGATCCACTCCTTTCTCTGAGCGCGCAGCTCGCCCAGGTTGTTTTCACTCGTTTCAGTAAAGGCATCCTTGATCGCCGTCCATTGCTCTTCTACGCTGCCACCATCAGGAATATCCGCAGCTCTGGTCTCCAGTTCCTCGACGAATGACCTTTTTACTGCTGGATCTTCCAATCGGCGTGTGTTGAATCGCCGTCCGAGCCGCTCCTCCCGCCGCTGGACCCGCGCGATACGAAGGCGGATCTCTCCAACGAGGAGATGGTGGTCAGACGCGATGTC